GGGCTTTGTTTCGACAGAATTGCATAAAAAAGAAATATTTTTCTGAGATACTGGTAGTTGAGAAAAGATTGGAATAAGTATGACGTAATAACATCTTAACCGATAAGAACTGGATGATCGAAAAAGAAAATTTGATATTTGAAAGTGATCGATTTCTGATTCTGATTGCAACGATTAAAAAATAATTGGATATTTTCGAAATTATATGATTTTTTTTAATGTTAATTAAAATTAAGATTAGAAAATGAAAAATTTACTTATCAAACGTCTATTCGCGCGAAGGAAAATCAACAAGGCCGACAAATCTAAATATATCGTTGAATCGCTTGCCACTACTATTTACTTCGAAGAAGAATATTTATCTCTTTACTAAGAAAGAATAAGATAGGCCTCGTGTAAATTTCTTCGTTAAAGTCGAAGAAAAATATATTGCGCCGAAATTATCACGATTCTTAAATTCTTCGTAAAAATTTCCAATCATAATACATCGCATTATAGCGAGAATAATATTAATTTGAGAATTAAATTATTCGTCGAGATTTTATTTTTCGTTAATAGACTAAAATACTACTATATTGAGAATGAAAAATATCTACGTGAAAACAAAAATACTTTGGAAAATTTTTACTCTCAAATACAATTGTTCGCACAATTGTGGTACAATTTCTACGGAGAAAAATTTGCAGACAAGAATACCTTGTCGTTATTTACGAAAAAATTTACATCATCTCGACGACATAATTACCAATGTATTATCGAATTCATACATAAAGCCTCGATAAAGAAAAGTGTGACGTTATAAAGAAGAAAGCTCATTAGCTTAAGCCATCGAACGGTTCGAACCACTTAAAAAAAAAACGGATATCTGAATGTCTACTCGAAGGCAAATCGATGCCCCCCTTGTTTCGAGATTAAAGTTTCGATATCTAAAAAGGTTGCCGGAAAGGAATCGTTCGTTCGACCATCGGTATGACCATCGACTCCTCGAGATGGTTGTTCCATTAAACTGTGCGCCACTTCTCATAAATCGCCGGTTTAAAACGTTTTATCGGCACAATTCGGATAACATTGCTCCTGCGTATAAGGCTAAACGCTCGTTAATCTTTTCCAGGCGAGATGCGTGGATCAGGCACGATCATAGGCGATCGCCTGGAAAATTGATGGAGAGATGTTATGGGAGAGTGAGAAAAAAAATTGGAGACCAAGCGCGTTGATTCTTTCACGACATTGTTGTGAAAATCTTCTGGAGAGATTAGGAGAGACGAGAAGAAAATTCTCATAGTTTTGTTTGGATTATGGAGAGCTTAATTTGACGAGCTTGACATCTCAAGGAATCCTTGGTGAATCAGAATCAGAAATAAAATTTGCATAACAAAAATAGAGATTGAAAGGAGAGTAGGAAAGGATAGGAAATATTTGGAATTTTATAGATTCTGATTGGCACAATGATTTTGGTATGTTAATTTCATCGTCGGTTTCGCAAAGAAACTTTGATAATTATTTTATCGCGAAATCTGTAGATTTATATAAAACAAATTCTTATTAAATCTCAATAGCTTAAAACCCCTCGAAACTATATTATTACAAAAATAATAAAGCGCTTCGAAACCTATATATTTATAAGCCTATATAAGAAAAAAATAAATTAACAAGAATATAAAGAAAACAAAAAAAACCTATAATTTTATAAATTCCAACGCAAAGAGATCTCAATCAAAAGAACCTTCCATATAGAGAAGAAAAGTATAAAGAGAGAAAGATTTAAAAAAAACAATTTCAAAATCTACGAAGAGAATTTACATTGTCGCAAGATTAAATCCGTTAACTTGAGCAATACGTTTGTTTATTCGCGTGGAGAGGGGAAGTACGAAGGAGATCCGGAAATCACCGCCGCCGATCGATCCGCTTCAAAACAGAAACAAACGACGGCGTACATTCGTACATCATCGTTCTCTGCGAAGATAATGAAATGCACGACGACGAAATAGGCGGACGCGTGCGACTGTGTGCGTAACGCTGCTCGCTTACGTTTATATAATGCCAGACCCGGGAAAGTGAGACACCATTGAATCGTCGACCGTCAAAGAGGCACGCGTTTCTCTCTGTCGAACGACATGAAACTCCGCATATCCGTTCTTCTCGTCGCCCTCGTGGCCATTCTTCTGCATTCTGCCGGTAAGAAGATCCGTGTAAATGTGGAATTCGTTTGATTATTTTCAGAACAGTGTTTCAATGGTTTTTCTTTTAAATTTAAAAAGTAGTAAAATTTCAAATTAATATAATATTTGTCTATTTTAAAAGGGATTAAAAAATGCCCAAATAAATTTATGAATAATTTTTTCATTTCAATAAAATAAAGATGGAGAATTTTTAATTATCTTGATCTTTATCTGTATTTAATTGTCGATTTTAGCAGAAAATAGCTACACTTTTATCGTTCGAAGAACGAATGGCCCTCTTTCGAAGGGGCCGATCGTGGTAAATTGAAATATTCGCTCGAGCGAGGTGAACCCTTGCTTCGTTTCGTTCACCCTATTCACTTCACGTTCCATCGAAACTTTCGAATCGACCGTACAAAACATCGCCGATTATTTAACAATTTTTCGCAGCAATAACGTTAACATCCAATTTACAGAATACACGACAGCAAACAGCATATGTCCTCGAGAGAATTGCCTCGATTCGACAAAGTGCGAGCTTTTTGTGGTGGGTGCTACGTGTCCACGATCGAGTGACACGTGTTGCAGCATTGGTAAGTTCGTTCAAAATGTTATAATCAACGAAGAACGGAAATTGCAAATATTTATTCTTCGTTAATTGGGTCCATTTTTAATTAGGAGTTAAGAAACTGAAATAATTTGTAGATAATTCAGTGTGAAACTCTTCGTTTATAAATAATTAACAATTTATAAAATGTTCTTACTCGGATCTTTATAAATGACATTGAATTATTCTCGTTCTTATAAACAAGCTTTAACTCGTCAATCTTGACTCAAGAAAAAAAATACACTTATATCACGTTCGTGTTTATTCTAAACACAAATTAGAAAATTATTACAATCTGTCAAGAAATAACTTTACTTCTATCCATGAAAAACGAAAAATATAAAAAAAGTTATTCCATATTTTAAAAGAAGGCAATAAATATCGAAAAATTTTATTCCGAATCAACTTATCGAAGAGCGAAATTTATTTATTTATTATTTATTCCTGAGTAAGCAGTTCCTGAAAAGTGTTTGACGTTCGATTTAAAGTTTTTCCATCGTTTTTCGCACGAGTATTACTTTTTATCGATAAGATAAAGAGCTGTTGTGGAAACGTTTATTCCGGTCACGGTTAGAAAATACACGGTGGAGGTAATTATAAACCTGGTAACGATAACGTAACTCCGCGTTACAAACTGGATATAGCAATTTCACAACACGCAACACCGTCATTTCTACCGTGCCAAATCGAATGCTCTCGAGATTCACTTTTGCACGGCGTGAATTCGGAACGAAACCATCGACCGGTTAATTCATGCGTCACGCTGTCCACACTTTCACGAAACATGTCGCCACCTATAACTACGTTCAACTTGTTTCTCTATGCTCTTCGGGTTCACCACTTCGTTAAGGAGTTCGAGAAAGATAATTCGTTGGGTGATTATGGTTTTCATTGGAGAAATCATCTTGTCTCCTTGTATATATATTTTTTTTAATATTTCGAATATTTAAAACTAATAAATGTTATGTTATTTTTAGGAGACAATAATATAAAAACTTTACTAATTTAAGAGAATTTAAGAGAATCGCTCTTAAGTTGAGAAAAAAATTCAACATTTCCTCAACTAAAATGATTATTCCTATTTATGATTTCTTTATCAAGAAATGTTATTGCATTTCAATTTATATCTATTTGAATTTTCATCTCTTCTGCTCCGATAAATTAACACACATATATATATATATTTTTTAATTTTCCTCTTCAATAACGTAAACTTTCAATGGATATTATTTCTCGAAACTTTGATACTTTTGCTCAACAATAAAAATACGTATTCAATTTTCGTGTTCACAGTGAAATCGGAATACAGAACCCACTGCAACCACTTCGCGGGCGAGTGCATGGACTTCTGTAACCAGGCTCTGCAACACGCGGCCGTCGATTGTCCATCGGACAAAGTGTGTTGCACGTTAATTTAATCCGTGAAGAGAGGAACAAAAAAAAACAGGCAACAACGAGAAGCCTTCCTATCTATCTACCTGTCCACCATCTGAACAATAGCGTTAACGTAACACCGATTAGTCTCGACATCGATCTGTGAATGTATGAATCCCGTATCATCTGTTCGTAACACACGGTAGAAAAGCGAGTTAATTGATTTTACAATCGCAATGATTGTGTGGACACGAAAAATGGCGTGCGCCGATTGATAATTGTGAACACGTTGCGACACAAACGCGTGGGACGTGAAATTAGTGCAAATGTGAAAACGTGAAAACTTCCGCGAAATATGCACTTGCTCCGTTCGTTTCTCTCGTTTCAGTGGATGAGAAAAACGTGAAACGTAGTAGTAAAACGTGTTTGTTATAATAAAGCATGCGTGTTTGAGAGGTAGTCTGAAGAAATTTAAATGAAACCTTTTCACGATATCTCGATAAATCATTTTTGATTGATGAAAGATCGAGAGTTTTTCACGATGATTTTATATATCGAGAATATATGTTATTAAACAATGTTTCTTTAATGTACATTATTCTTACGCTTGTAGTCGATGAACGATATATCTTTAATTACAGTTTTTTTTTTTATTTACGAAATACGACACGAAGCAAGAGTTGAACGATATTCAAATAATTTTGAAACGATCAATTGTCCACGAACACGGAATAAATCGTATGTAATACAATTCGACCATTCATTCGAAATTAATCGATAATTAATTTCAGAAGAAAGAAGACCAAACCTAACCTCTTTCTTCTCCCTTTTGCGACCAATCTTCTCCACAATCAATCAATCGATCGATTAAATTAAAAATCTTCTCCACGATTCTTCTCTAACCAAACCAAATAAAACTACTCGAATAATTCGAGTAGAAGAGAAGGAAGGGAGAGCGAAGAGAAGCAGGAAGAAATAAGAAGTGGACGTGGAGGGGAGGGGGAGAGGCACGTATCGCCGCGGGCAATGCAGGACGGTTTGACGGTGAGGGAACGCACGCACGGAAGATTTAGCGTCGTGTTGGTCAGCCCTGGAGGGTCACTCGAAGAATCGAGGCGCGCGAGAGAGAAAGGAGAATGGCCCGAGGCTCCCTCTATCGTCGGCCATCGCTCGTCGAGATATAAGAGAGCATGGGACGGTGACGCATTCGTCAATGCGAATTACGAACGTTGTAAAGCGTTGGCTCGAGACGATAGCGAGCAGGGATATATCGTTCGAACTGGCGGGATTCTTCGTGCGCGCGGGGAAGCGAGAAGGAAGAGAATACCTTGCCCGAGGCCAGACACGAGGAACATGTGACACTAAATATAGAAACACGCCACGAAGGAATTCTTCGAAAGGTAACGAAACAAACATTCTCGTTTCGACAAGAAATACTAAATAACACGTGACGTGATCGCTGGTTGGGTCAAAAGCAACTTTCCTGTAGATCCAGAAATGGTGAAGACGCGTACTTTTACAGCTAACGATATTTAAATAAATGATCTTCTTCTTATCTTCTTATAATTGCATATTATCAGAATAATCATTAAGAATCTTAAGAACAATAAAATATTTCCAACGTGAACAACAATATTAATAAATTTCCTCGAAGAGAGAAATATCCATCTCGCGTCGTCTCAAATTCTTGAATCACTTCAACCACTTGATAAAAACCACTTGATAAATCCATAACGCAAAGAAATTATCGAGAGGACTGCGAGGAAGAAGAAGAAGAAGAAGACGAGAAGAGACGACAACGACGACGACGACGACGACGAAAAGGAAGAATGATGAAGAAGAGGTATACCTTGCCCGGGGCGCTGCAGGCAGATGCCAGTACGTGTACTTACATGCACACATACATACATACACATTTGTAAGAGCCGTTTCGGTTAGCCCGGGGGCGAAGGCGCGGAATCATGCAGCGTGGAAGAAGGAGGAGGAGAAGGAGGAGGAGGGCTCCCTCTGGCCCCCATCGTTGCACGGAAGATGGCCCCGGGGGCACACGCGGAGGTGTACCCCACCACGAACCACGGAGAGGAGCAACGGTCGTTCCGCTGCGGGCGCGGAAACGAGAGGAGATAGCGGCGAGCTTCGTGCGCCCTCCGCACCCTCTCCCCTGTCTCCTCGCGGCCAGAGCCGGCGAAGGGCGGAGGGCAGACCGTGGAGAAGGGGGAGGAGGTGGGATTCACGGTGCCCTGAGGACGTTCAGCGAGACAATACGCTGTTCGTGGACCCTGCGGCGACTTCACGACGGACCGCTTGCTTCTCCTCTCCTCTTCCCCTCCTCCTATTCTCTTCCCTCTCTTCTTTTCGTTTCTCTTTCTCGCCGTTTATCCGCCCTTCCTCGTTTCATCCGCTTTCAGCCCCCTGGTCCTCGGTATTCGTCCTCGGATTCTCTACGCGCGTTCTTGTTTCGCAATTTTTAAACAAGGAGAACATTTGCGGTGGGTATATTCTACTTCTCTCTGGTAGAGCAGAGAGGAGTAGGTTTGATTGTTTCTCTTTCTTTCGAGACGGTATCACGAATCGATTTTCAATTTGTTGAAAATGGTAATGCGTTTGACGAGTATTCTAATTCTTTTTGTCAATTTAACGTTATATTCGAAAACTTCTTTCTTCATTCTTCATCAAACCCCTACGATCTACGTTCACGTCATACGTTCACGAACATCTCAAAGCAAAATTTCTTATACTATATGCAACCCTACACATAAATAATTTTAAATACATCCACGGATATTTGAAGATATTTGAAATATTAGATATAAGACATTCAACGCTGCCAAGTTTAAAAGATTGCAAGAAACGTAATAATTCCTTCGCGAATACCTTAAAACATTCTTACGCAACTCCACGAATAATTTTGAATACACATTTGAAATACCAAACGCGAAACATGCAACTCTGCTGTCAACTATGTGCTAAAAGACTTGCAGAAAAAAAATTCAACGAATCCGCGTATCCATCGATAAACACATCGATAAATATCGTAATCCATCGAAAGGCATCCAACGCTGCCGAGTTTCAAAAGACTCGAGGAACGATTCAACGATGCAAGGGACGATGGATGTACAAGGAAGTCGTCGTTTCTCCCAGAGAGTAACCGGTAACAAGGATTATATTCGCGGAAACTTCGTCCTTGTTTGCGGGGGAGGGGTGGGAGGAAGGTGAAGAAACTATCTCCGCGGCTACGTTCCGTCTTTCGATGTAATAAAG